TCCTTCACCTCTCAATCTTCTCTCTAAAACCTCGGATTTTCTGCCCAAAAACGCGTTTGATCGACTTAAATAGCCGGCCTGCCGACACTTGCGTCGATCGACGCAACGCGCCTGCGTCGCTCGACGCCACAGCCGACACTTGCGTCGCTCGACGCAACCCACTTGCATCGATCGACGCAACAGCCAAAACCCGATTCACACAAGTCCAAACACGTGCATCGATCGACGCACCACACCTGCGTCGATCGACGCTGCACCAAATCCACTTTTTTGGTTCACGGGCGTTACAGTCACAAATCAACAAAGAGTGGGAAAGTGGTCGCAAATTTATAGCTGTTTTGTGACTCATATAGTAGTCACATCACGAAACCCTAATCCCTAAACATTTTGAACCAAAATTGTGAAGAATATGTATTTTCAATCAGTTTTTCATCTATTTATTAAGTGTGTTTTTGATTAGATATGATTATATTGTGGTTATAAACTCAAATTTGAAGTAAAAACATCTTATCACAACATATATATTGAAATGTCAAGTACTTTTATCTTATAATGAAGATGTGTAAGGTTTTGAAAATTGAAAACTACATAGATTTCACTAGTATATGTAATATAGAAAGTAAAATNTTAATTNGTANTTTTTGTATGGATGTACATACGTAGAATCAAATAGTTTTACATGAAATCTATTCCAAATTTTCCAAAACTTTAATAGGAGTTGGTAAGGAGTCACAAACTGGTCACATATTTGGTTTTTCGTCGCTAATTAGTCGCATAGTAGAGACAATTTTATGACGCTTTTGTGACTCTTTATATTAATTGCTCCAAAAAGTAAAATCNCAAATCTTATACCCTAAACATTCAATGAATGATCATAACATTTTTTTAAAACATATTTAGAGATAGAAAAGACAAAAACACTCGGTTTTAATTATTTAATTATATAAAAGGGGTTTTTGTGACCCTAATTTTTTGTTGACCAACTTAATGTGATATTGTTTTACTTTTTTCTAAAATTAACTTGGTATCATGTATTTTATTATTTGAACGGACAATGAAATTTTATTATTCGCGGTTAACTTAAGATGACATTTTACAATATGTAACTATTATTACAGAACAATTGAAGAACCAAAAATTAAGCACGAGTCTATTAGATTTTACCTTCGGGTTCAAATTTGAAATAACATCCAAAATATATTATTCAAATTTGC